AAAAGTTAGGGTGTCTGTATCTGGTTTTTGTTTTCAGTTTTTTTAAAACTAATTTATTAAAAATTTTATAAAATTAAATTTTACAAGGTACATAAATCTGGTAAAGAGATGTGAATAAGGTATAAGAAAGAACACAAGTAATAGGAAAAGTGAAAGTATAAACCAAAACAATTTATAGATGTTCTGATATTAAACAAATGAAATCTATTTTATATTTAGCAACACTCAAAGTTTATTTAATAACAAAAATATGTTAAAAAGGTGAAGATAATATATTTAACATTCCTCAATACATGAAAAGATCTTTAATAATTTTGATGATCAGTTAGTGGATTACTATATTATCAATCGCATCAAATTCCTGTTGCATTTTCAAGGAGGAGAAATTAAACAGGTCATCATAATATATATATAAGGCCTTGACAGCTAATCATTCGTGTACTTCTTCGATTAGAGGTGAAATAATATATATATATATATATATATATATATATATACGTGAACTAAAAGCCAAGTTCAACACTAAGGAGATAGAAATTTCCGATGTGGATCTCCCTTCTCGTAAGGGGAAGAAACAAAAAACCAACGACCCAGTTGAGGTTGGAAAACGAGAATCTGACAAACGAGTTGTGGGGTCAAGTTGCCAAAGTGATCTCGGCTAAGAAAAGGTAAGTTATAACATCTACGACTTTCGAATATTGTCTAACTTTGCAAAAGGATATAAATTCTAACTTATTATCAAGTTTACAAGAGTCAATTGCTCAGCTCGAATTTTCATCTCCTTCAACGCAAGTAGGGCTATCTCAAGTTGAGCAATCTTCTCGACCAAGAACATTACATCAGAGGTATGACTCCAATCACCCTCTTGGCAAGTTGGATCATATAAGTATGTCTCTTGACGTTACCTCACTTTGGAACGCCAAGTTGACTGCGAAAGTCTTTTTCTTTTCTTTTAATAACAGTATTGGATTCGGCTAGGATTTGCTTTTTTGTAAGATTGGGAATGTTCCAAAACCTATTCACCAACTCCTCGTGATAATATAATGATGTTTCATTTTGTGTTTGTTTGACAAATTACAAATCTCATCAATTATTCATAAATTGAGTGATAAACCATTAAAATGACTTCACAGTGTGAAGAATGGATTTCAATTGAATAGTAGAAATCGTTTAGAAGAGATTATATGTATTTGGCTAGGGCATTTAAAAATGGTTTATAAGTTCGTATAATTTAGGCTAACTCTTTGGTCAGTTAATAGAGAGGCACGAATTTTGTTGGTTAACAAATTAACTCAAACTTGGCCAATTTATAAATCAGATACGAAATTGGCTCAAACTTGGCCAATTTATAAATCAGATACGAAATTGGCTCAAACTTGGCCAATTTATAAATCA